GGCAGGAGTTCCACCCCCATCCTCCCCAGTGTGTGGTGTGAGCTGAGCTCCAGCACCAGGGCTCAGGGAGGGGCTGGGCAGGCACTGGATGGACCTCATTGGAGGTCCTCATTGGACCTCATGCACAGCCCCTCCTGTGGCAGAGGGTGGAGGAGAAAAGGAGGCCTGGGGTGGCCCAGCCCAGTGTGGGGACCAGGGTTCTGTCACCATGGCCTGGGCGCTGCTCCTCCTCCTCCTCCTCCTTCACTGCACAGGTAGGGACAGGCCTTATGGACACGGGGTGCTCCCCACAACACCCCCCTCTGCTCAGAATCCTGAATTTTGGTTTCCATTTCTAGCCAAATCTGCAAAGGATGTGTGTGTTTTCTGGTTCCCTGTCCCAGCCTGTGCTCACTCAGCCACCCTCCCTCTCTGCATCTCTGGGAACAACAGCCAGACTCACCTGCACCCTGAGCAGTGGCTATAGTGTTGGCGGCTATGATATATACTGGTACCAGCAGAAACTAGGGACCTTTCCTAGGTATCTACTGAGATTCTACTCAGACTCAGATAAGCACCAGGGCCCTGGGGTCCCCAGCCGCTTCTTTGGGTCCAAAGATGCCTCGGCCAATGCAGGGCTTCTGCTCATCTCTGGGCCACAGCCTGAGGACAAGGCTGACTCTTCCTGTGCTACAGCTCATGGCAGTGGGAGCAGCTTTGGCTACTCACAGTGACTCAGATATGGAGAAAGTGAGACAAAAACCCCTGGGTCCACAGACCTTGTGTCTGAGCCTCTGTTATTGGGAAGCTTCTGTGGAGGCTCCTATAGGGGAGACACCTCTGTGGTGAGAGCTGTCCTTGAGGAGGAAGGACAGACGCACAGATGATGCTCTTGCCTGAGGGAGCCCACGTGAATCAGCGAATGGAGCCCAACTGCACATGCCCCTGGGTCTGGAGAAACTTAGTAAGAACAACTATTTTACGACCAAAATCTCTGGCACTCCCTCTAGTTATATCTTGTTTACTACTCACAGAATACTTCACTTCACACACTCATGTTCATCAATTATATGTTTTGTATCTGTTTTCCCACATATAGAAATTCTTTGGGACACACAGTGAGTGTCCTACAATTTAACTGAATTTAACGCTTAGTTTGACTGCTCGGAGATAGTCTCAGATGCACAGGTGAAGGGCTCAGCACCAGGAGGCTGCTCCCCATTTTGATGCCAACAACAACTAGTAGATTGCCGGCACCCTCTGTCCAACGTGGCTATACGTCGAAGGTTCCAACGACTCCCTCCTCAGGTCCATTAAGGTGCCAGATCAACTCACAGAACTCAGGGAGACACTGACTCCTTTTGTCAGCTCATTAAAGATATGAAGGGGACAGGTGAACAAGTAATGAAGAGACACCTAGTGTTAGGTCTGGGAGTGTCTCGAGCACCAGAGCTTCAGTCCCTGTGGAGTTGAGGTGCATCTGTTCTGGGAGTGGATGTGTTCACCAAACCAGAAGCTCTTCAAACCCTGTACTTTGGCATTTTTATTGAGGATTCAGGTAGACGTGATTGGACATTAACTGCACTGTCAGTCTTCCCTCCCTGTCTCAAGTATGAGGGGGTGAATTTTCGCAGGCTCTGATCAAGGCTTGGTCTTTCTGGGCACCAGCCCCATCCAGGAGCCATCCAGGAGCCCACCCAGAGCCACGTCATTAGAACTAAGATGCTTCTAGTGCTCTTGTCACTTAGGAAATGACAAGAATTTCAGAAACTCTGTGTCAGGATCCAGGGC